TTCCAGGTATCAGACATGAAGGAGAAACAGAAGAGATAGTGTGACATTTTAGAAGGAAAAAAGGCAGAAAGCAGTGCAGTCTGTTGTTCCATTCACCCATCACTCAAGAAGCATTCAAATGAACCCACGGCACATGCACAGAATGGATTTAATGTAATTTTGTAAATAGCATAAATAAAATATTTTAAAAAAGAACTATGGGGGCGATTATAAGAACAGAAAGAAAACCTTAATCTCTAAACCCTGCCAGCACAAAGAAAGATTAACCCTCTTTAGCTCTCAAATCATCTGCCTTGTGCTAAAGATAAAAATAAACAAAACAAAGAAACATATCCATGCACCACTTAAAATGAAAATTACAACTTAAGTCACAACTCCCCCTCCCTATGTGATTTCCTCTGATCCATCTGTGTGTCCAGTCATCATCTGTTCACACAGTGTTTCTGTGAAGCTTTAACAAACCCGGCGCAGTAATGAGACCGTGAAGGACTTCTACTGTAGTGAGCGCAACCTGTGCTAGATTAGCGTAGTAAATCTTTATTCCTTGGCGTTTGTAGAGGACAGGGCATCTTGCCACATGAGAGCGAGCAACTGGGTGAATGGCAGAGCTATGCAGATATTTATGCAGACATTCATACAAATGAAAGCTCTTTGTGCAAGGAAATATCCATTAATATGATTTGATTTGTAACATGCCTTCTTCTGTGAATCTAAACTGGAATCGTTGAAATATATAAATGAAATAAGTGAATGAAACCTTTGTTTATTGTTACTTAAGAACCCTATTACAGTAGGTAATTACAGTACAGTATTACAGTATAGTTTCATTAAAAGGGCTAAATACAAATTAAATACAGCTAGCAATCGTTGTCCATTGTGCAGCATTGTGCCTTGATTTAGTCACAAAAGGACACATGGCTCTCCAGGACAACACCCTGCATTCGTCATGTTGCTGTAGTCAGGCAATCTTATCCTCCTGAACGGCTCTCTTTATGGGAGATCATCAGCATGTTAAGTTGGAAACTTTTGGCCGTATCAATCACTGAGTCTACTGCAATCTTGTTTTAAAGTGAGGTATAAGAGAGACAGCACTGACCTTTTACATTTTATTAGCTTTCACACAGAAAAGAAAGGGTTTCATTTCTGTACATTGAAGCTACGACTGGACGAAAAGTCTCCAGTAGGGTAAAGCTCTCTTTATGTTAAAGGTAAAAATTTGATTCTAACAACAGTTAGAACTACAGTAACTGTATCTACCATGACTTTAAGGATACAATAGTATAGAATAATTCATATTAATAATTGTTAATAGAAATAATAATTTAGCTTTACCAGGTTTTAGGTCTGCTTTGGGTACTTTGTGTCAGGTTGAAGCTCAGTCGTGCTTGTTCTGAATGGATGCATGTTCTTTTGTGGCTTTGTGGTTTTGATTTGGTACTTTCCCAATCCAAAAACATGCACGTTAGGTTACCTGCCAAGCATGTGTAGTTCCATAAGATGCAAAAAAAAAAAAAAACATAAAGACACATTTGTATTACTGTTGTTGGGTGGCAGATGTTGTCTAAGAGTACGTAACGGTATTTAACAGTACATTAAGACGGTACGTAAGGTGCATCAGTAGTCATGTGCCTTTTCAGGACCGTTCCTCTACATCGACTTATTTTGATTGTTGGATGAATTATTGAGCTCACAGGTGAGTTCTAGTCACTTTCTAGTAAAAAAAAAAAAAAGGTGGTTTGTTGAGTAAGTTTGTTGCCAAAGCAAATTCTTACATTCATTATAAAAAAGTAGAAAAACATTCATGCCCTCATCTCCTCTAGATTCAATATTACAACTCTATATTTTGTCCCTGAACTGTCATCTCTTCGTTGTTTGCAGTTGCTTCAGAATGTTGTTGCATGTAGAAGACATGATCATATCACTCCAGTTTTAGCACTGGCTGCTTGACTCATTTTGTATTGATTTTAAGATTATTTTTACTTAATTTTAAGGTTTGAAATGGTTTGGCACTCGTTTTTTTTTAGCTGAACTGCTCGGCTTTTATAACCCAAAACAGCAGTGAGATCATCCTGCCAGATGCTCTTGGGGCCGATGAGGGCTAAATTAAAAGCACAGATGGGATTAGGCTTTTGCGTCGGCTGCACCTAGATTTTTGAACAACCTTGACGTTTGCATTACAGTTTATACAATCATTATATCTTGCCTGAAAACTCATCCTTTTACATTGACTTTTAATTCAAGTTCAGTCTATAGTCCCATTTTTCTCTATTTCATTTGATATGTTTATGCTGCCTTGAAGTGGAAAAAGTGGAGTAGCCCTTCAAATGATCACCTTATTGACTAGTTTTAAAAGAGCCTTTTCTTGTGGTTCTGCAATGTGTGGGACAGAGCAGCCATGCCACAGTGCAGCCTATCAGCATCAAGCAGCAGGTGCAATGAGGAGGGATGTGCAGCACTCTGCACCAAACTGAAGGCTGAGCCTCTGCAGCAGCCACACAACTCCTTAACATCTTCCATCTCTATGAGCACCTCACGTGGCACCTCAGTATAAATGTACATGCTGTCCCAGAAACCTTTACACTGAGTTCATTAGTGATTCATGTCAATGTCAAAGAGACAACTGAAGCTCTCAGAGCGTCATCCACACATTTCACTGCAGTCATCACGACCTTGTAACGAACACTTACTGCATCTACGACATTGTAATTTCGTCAAACCCAACCTTAAAACGAACCAATCAGTCATTAATGCCCTGTGAAGATCACCAAGCCTGTACCCATCTGTATCGGTGCAGCAGCAGGAAACACAAGCCTTAGTAATATGAGCTTCAGGTCATTATCCTGTAACAGGATATACAGTCAAGCATCCCTCCCCCTATACGCAGCCACCATCACTTCAAAATCCTCCCACTCCCCCATCACCTGCAGACTATTCACTCTGCCCTTCCTCTCTGTCCCTCTTGTTCTCTCAGCAGTCACACCACAATCTGCATCACGTGTCTGAAGGTGAAAAGCAGCCGCCGATGCCACCGTGAAGCCACATCTCATTTTACATTCATCAGTTTCAGTCAAAGCTGCATCAGTGCAGGAAAACGGGGCAGAAGAAGTGTGTCAATCTGAAAACATTGTCACAAGAGACAAGATGTCATTTTGAAACAACTATAGTACGTCTGGTAAAATCTACCCATGCTCTTTTTTTTTTACACATGTTCAAGCTTTTTCCCCTGTATGATCACTGCTGTCTCTCTAGCTGGTCCTGTCTGCGTGGCTTCTTGTGCCAGCCAATCACAGCTCTTTACTGGGAATTTCCACACAAGAAGCCCCGCCCCCTCTTTGACGCAGAAAGCCGTCGCAAGCGATGCCCCCCCGCAGCCTTGAAAGGACAACTACTCTGTGCGCAGCTGCGACATTAAAAAAAAAAAGAAGATAAAAAATAAAAATTAAGATGATACTAAAAAGAATGTTAAACTTATATCTAAGAAGACTCCATCATCTCATCCGTTATCTGTTCAGGGTCACCTCAGCAGCGCAGAAACCTCCTTCAGACCTTCAAGGAGGCTCGTTTATCACCTCATGACTGTTTCCTGAAGGGACAAGTTGTGTCCCGAAAATGGCACAGTCTTTCCACTCAGCGTTTCTCTTTCCCAACTTTCACACCTCTAGCAGCATCATGCGTAATAAGCACTTTCTCCGCGGTCTCTTTTGACGCAGTGCCCATCCAGCTGCTGCGAGCTTCCACGTTTCAGTGAACACTCTAGAAAGAACGAGGGGACCTCTCCCCTCCTCCGTGGGAACCCGACAGGGTCTCTCGGATGCTGCAGAGGACCGTTTCTGCCTGCAGCATCCTTCAGGGGGAACGCCTCCGATTCCAAATTACAACTCTTGTCCCCGAGCAAGAAATTGCGCAACAGCTCACCGGTTCTCTCAGCTGGTAGTTTTCCACCAGGACACACTGATTCATTTACGCGGCTAATAAGTTCAGGAACCGGAAACGCTGAGAAGATGCGTTAATGGTTTTAATGGATGCGGACTTTTTATAAATAAGGGAACGCGTCGTCCCGCGTTCCTTTGTGCATTAAAGCACTCGATCTGTATTTAATCTGTGGTGTATGTCCATTCGAGACCCCGTTATGTCACGAATTAAAGGGAGAAATAAGCTGGTGAGACACTTATTCCCGGTAACCGCATTATGACGCACGGGTCATCGAGTGCGCGGAGGCTGTCGAGAGGACGTCTCCTCTGCTCCGTGTTTCTAATGTTCTGAACCAAATATAAAATAAGAACCGGAGACAAAACAGAACCAGCAGAGGTGTGTGTGTGTGTGTGTGTGGTGGTGGGTGGGGGGGGGGGATGGGGAGGTTGTAATGGAAACGTCCCTCCACCCAAAAAATTTGCACATTCATCACAAAATAAAGTCCAACAGCGAGTGATATGACTTATTGGAGGTTTTTAATTTAATACAAGTGGGTGCAGATGAGACGTGCCCCCCTCCCTCGGTGCTCCAACACGAGCAATCTGGAGGAATAAACCGATTAGGCCTTGCGGCTCCCAAGGTTACAGACACTTGAAACGCACGCTGACACTTTAAAACGCACATCCCACTTCCCCTTTTACATTCATATATGTTGCAGTTGATGCGACAGTAACTCATAAATGAGGGGGAATCTGAGCAGAATGGTGAATAATGGCGGAAATAAAACTCTTAACGTCCAAACCAAAGCGCTAAAAGACGCCGGTGATCTCTGACAGGAGAAGGAGCTTCATGGCTACATCAGTTTGTCGCAGTCTGAACAGAGGAAACCAGTTCCGCATTAGAGTCAATGTCAACTCAGACATCCGGGATTCCCCAAAAGGAACAAAACGACCGCATCGCCGCACCGGTTGGACACCTTTCCCCACCCGAGTGGGCGGTGGTGGGCGAGGAACCGACATGTTTGACGCCAACTCTCACTTTTTCAGGCCACATCAGGTGAGCTACAGCGCAAAGAAAAGTTATCTTACCCCCATGTTGGCGCAGTTGCTCTTCTCTCAGGTGATGCACCGCTTGAGAGGTGTCAGCCCCCTCACGTTGAATTAGCCTCTTTTCTTTTAAAACAAAAATAAAAAGCCTCGCCTTGAAAAACAGAACAAGGCGATTAGGGAGGTTAGCGTTAGCGAGAATGTAAAGGAGAAGTTAGCTGAAAAAAAAACGGTTTTCTTTGGCGGTGGAAAACAAAGAGCGGTTCAAACCTTGGAAGAGATCAGGCTACTCTCCTCCTGTGAGACGTCTTTTTCAGATGAAATGTAGCGGTCTCAAGCGGAGCATCACGCAGGAACCCGCTTCCCTCCTTTGCTCTCTGATACTTGCGGCGAAAGACCCGTGGAACTAACGAACCGCACCACTACCTCTTCGCAAGACGGTCTTAGTCCGCGCTTCCAGCCGATGCTGCCGCAGTACACCGCTCCTCTAGAGCTGCACCACTCCGCCAGGAGAAGAAGCGCCTTGATCCCGCCCATCGTTTGCAGAAACAGCCAATCAGAACTCCGAGCGTCCCATAACTGACCAATAGCTGTCATCCATGTTTGCAAATTAGCCAATAGAAATCCTCACTGCCCCTCCTGCTTTACTGCAGAATTCCGAGGCTTGCAGCCAGCAGCGTCGCGAGTATCTAGGCTGAAATTTTTGTAGAAATGGACGCACAAGGTTAGAATCCAGTCGTCGTGGTTGTGTTTGTTTTTCATTTAATGTCTTTATGCGACACTAAACTAGTGGATTTGTGTGCTTTAGGCTGTTGCATGTGACAAACACCCCTGGATGTGTCATCATCAGTCGTGTTGGTCCTATATCATCATGAGCATGTCGTGTTCTTCCAAATGTCAATCTACGAGACTGAGCTGTCAAAAATATATTTAAAACGTGCGCGGAAATGACATGCAAAACCGGCAAAATCCAGTGTCATCAGTGTGTCAGTGCACATCATGAGGGCATACTGCAGACAGCACGTGCACGTGCTTCCACCTTGCAGAGTTAGCGCTTTATCTTGGCAAGGAATGAACGAGAAACAAAGAATCACAACTGTCTAGATATAACAATGAAATTGTTTTTCCTCAAACTTCACATTTATGAAGACAACTGCAAATTTTATTTTTTCTTGTCAACTGTGAAGCTGATGCACTGGGACAAAGATGAATACACAGTGTGCCAAAGGTGAGGGCAGTGAGAGAGAATTAAACATGAACTAAATAAAATAAAACAAATGGGTTTCTAAAACAGTGTCAAAGAGTTCAAAGACATGAGTGAAAGACAAACAGAGGACATTCACAGTGAGGTTAGCCTATGCAGCAAGGAGTTGCAGGCCATTTTTGTTCCTTTATCTCTCTGAAGGGATGATGATGTTGCAATAAGAGCACACACACACATGCATATACAGATTGCATACACTTGCATGCACAGCACTGCCTGATTAAAGTTGTCAGAGTAACTCAGTTGTCCCTGCAGCATCATGTTGCCATGCCTCGCTGCATTTCTTGCTGTTGGTCCAGATGCTGACCACAAAACCCCACAGCATCAGAGCGAGGCTTTGCTCCGGGTGGACAGTCAGCTGCAGCACTCTTCAGACATGTTGGCACGATGCAACACGAACATGGTATTAAAATAGATGCTTTCATAAATTTTTTACCCAGGTTTGGTTAAAGCTAAACAGTTTCCAAGCTAATATATAGTTTTTTTTTTTTTTTTTTTTTTTTACTTTTAGCCTTCAGGTAATCTGTTAGAAAGTCACCAGGGGAAAAAAAGCTTTGTTTAACATAGAGAATTTGTCATTCCATCAACTTTTTCTGACATTGAGATGATTTTTGAAGGTGTGCTTTAATCCAAGACTAGGAAAAATTTAACATGTACATAAACTTTTTCATAATGTAAAGCAGCTCAGCTGTGCCATTATGCAAATTATTTGTTTTACTTCATTTTCAAATCTTTTCAGCTTGGATGTTGAGTGCAAAATGACAAACATGCATGCATTTTAGTGAATATTGCTTGGTGAATAACTTTTAGGATTTTGTTCAAGTTTAAGATATCTTAATTTAACTGGATGGTCAGTTCTAACGTTATTTTCAGGGTTTGACCCAGTCATAACTCATTTCTCATCATAAGGTTATATTTTTCTTCACGAGGGGCAGTGAGCGGTAAACATTCCTTCAAGCAATGCGAGGCCTTTAAGTCCTCACATGAAGTCCAGGTTTTCACCCTCAGTTTGTCTTTTTAAATCATTTTCATCAGCGTTATTGCCTTTTTCAACATAAAAGTTTTAAAAAATGTACACTGTCAGAGCCATGGAGCCATTTTTTTTAAACAGATACATAGTTTTGCTGATAAGGGTCACTTTGTCATTATGGTGCTCTTAATAAAGTTCTTTCAATCTCATTTCAGCTAAAATGGCTGCCAGCATCACCATGTCCTAACCTCTGTCATGTTGTCATGTACCCCCCTCCCCCATACTCACCCGCATCATCACCACTGCACAATGTTCCTTCTCCTGCAAGTACAAAAGATATAGGAGGGGAGAGGAAAAATCGCCCAATTCTCGAGCTTTACAGCAGCAGCAGTCAGATGACCTTGCTCTGACTTGTTCTGCTGAGTCAGAAATTGAAGGGTGGGTGAGCAAGGGGGACAGCAGGGAGACAATAAGGAAGAAGACAGAATGATATGGAGTGGTACTTATTGTTCTTTTGATAGATTAAGTCTTGAGTCATGCTGCGGTCACGTTGGTGTCGTGCTATGCTAATGTGAACTGTGATGCAGCATTTCTGTTTTTTTATTTATGCTCATTTGCAGTCTAACTATTTCTGCATACTCTGTTCTATTTTAGACACCCATGTGTCAAAACATTCAGCTCATTTATAAGATGGGTGCTTTAACTTGTAGTTTTTCTTTTCAGAATATTTAACATCCATCCATCCATTATCTTTTACCTGTTTCTTCCTTCCTTCAGTCTAACATGCATGTTTTTGGTCTGTGAGAGGAAACTGGAGTACCTGGAGAAAACCCACGCATGCACAGAGAGAACATGCAAACTCCACCCAGAAAGGCCCGGGACTGGGATTTGAACCATGGTAACCTGCTCGTTGAGAGGCAGCAGCTCTACCAGTTGTGCCACCGTGCTGCCCAATATTTAACATCGTTTACAAATATCTTGCCCAATGGAATCACAATAAATTTCTTTTAAATATTCAACAACTTTATTTTCTTTAAAATCTACTTCAGTATAGGCTACTTCTTCTTTTTATGCTACTTTTAGCTTGTAGCTACAATTCTGCTACTTTTAGCTACCACTATGCAAGCTTTTATAACTTTTTGCTACTCTTATCTTTTAACCATTTACAATTATTAGCTTCTAGCTAGTCTTTTGCTAACTTCATCTTTTAGTTAGCATTTTGCTATTTTTATCTTTTAAACAAACTTTTGTAATTATTAGCTTCTTGCTAGCCGTTTGCTGCCTTTAGCTTTTAGCTAGCATCTGCTATTGTTAACTTTCAGCCCACCTTTTTTTAACTATTAGCTTGTAGCTAACTTTTTACCAATTTGGGGTATCATTTTTTACTTTTAGTTTATAGCTAGCCATTGCCACAGTAAATTTTTAGCTAGCCTTTTGCTACATTTAGCTTTTAGCTTATGTTTTGCTGCCTTTAGCTGTCTTGGGCTATTTTGAGCGAGTGGGTTATGACCTTTTGTATTTAGTTAGCTTTTTACTTCTTTTAGCTAGTGTTTTTTGTGCAAACTTCAGCATTCATTTAGCATTCAGCGTTCACAGATTTTCTCAATATAATGCAAATTTATGTTGTTTGGAGAGAAGCCGACCACAGTGCCGCTTCAGCTCTAAAATGCATATGTGCTAGTATGCACAGTGTAGTGAGTCACGTGAGGTACGTGTCACTTATAGTATGACAAATATATGTGTATATATTTATGCATACTTTTCACGAGTTCTTCATTTTTCTGACTGTAATGCCGTGCATTGAATTTAACAGAATGTAACGAGAGACGTTGTTTATCTTTGACCCATCAAATGAATGGAATCATTTATTTTCAGAATCAAAGTTTAACATCAAACATTTACATTAATTTGGCAAAATATGAAAATAATAACAGACAGTTTCACAGAAAATGAACTTCAAATCACTCGGCGGTGATCTGAGGACTTTGCTTCAGACATTTCTAAAAATATCTGTACTGATTTATGAGAGAGAAGAGTTTAAGATTAAATTGAGATTTATCTTACAGAGGAAATATGTGAGGGAATTTAATCTGTTTGACCAGAAGTTGCACGCTCCGTCCGATCTCAGCTTCTCACGGTACACTTGGTCAAAATAGAACCATCTACCTGTTGATGATGAATCAGCCTTGGAGTAGTTCCTTTCTGACTCGTTTCAGCGTCTCCGTCGAGAGCTACCAAACCTTCTGAGAGTCGTGCGTGGTTAGCTCAAAACAGAATTATAATCCCCAAAAAACCTCTGGATTCTTCATTGCTCTGAAGCTTTCAGAACCGACTGCACTCTCAATCTTGGAACTCTCACGTTCTCCAGAACTCTCAATCTTGGAACTCCATATCACTCTGAATCTCAATCTAACATGAACTGAGAAGTTGCCACATTTTATTTGGGTCGACTTCCTGTTCAATTTAGAGCTTTCTGATTCGTGGAAGGACCAGAAAGAGGAGTGGTTTTGACGTAAGGTGTTTATCAACGGTCGAGGTCAGAGAATGAAATTTGTTTTCACATACAGAAAAGATTATTGCAGCAACAGCAGACTTCGTGGAGTCAACTCTTGGTAATCTTCTGAAAAAGTTTAAACATGACATTTTTCTCGGTAAACATTTTAGTTGACCGAAAACCAACCTTTCACATACTTACGACTTGACTCATTTCAGACAGAAAATCAAGGAATGCTTATTCAGGTGATTTCTTCTTGGAATGAGGAATAAAAATCATTACTTACTGTTTATGTAAAATAAAGATGAGTAGTTCTTTTCAACCTATAAGCATTGAGTGAACTAACACAATTTGATTATCAAAACATTTGTAAGACAGTAATGATTATAAAGAATTGTCTTTTCTGCTTGATTAATTCAAGAAAGAAAGTCATCAGATGGCCCAGACTTATTCAGATCAATGGAAATAACAGTCTCTGTCCATCTGGTAGATTTGAGGTCATCTGGTTCACTACAACAGTAGGTGCTGTTAGTGATACTGGAAAATATGATGACACCATGTTCTGCATGAGTCAGAGCTGCAGATAAGCAGTATGTCACAAAATGTTACATTCTATGAAGGTCTGAGCAACACATGTGTTTCTCAGGCTAAAATAGAGCAGTATGTGTTACTGTATCCCCTTACAGCAAAAAAAAAAAAATGTGTACAATCTAACGTTACACTCAAGCTCAATACATGCTTGCTGAGCATGCAAG